TGGGGATTCTTTTTTTTTTTTTTCCCTTCTTGCATGATGTACCGATCAAATTCCGATGTACCGGCCGGTACTCGAAATTTCGGCCGGTACACCGAAATTTGACCAGTACACCCGAAATATGACCGAAACGAAATCTTAACTTGTTCCATTTCGGTTAACCTTCAAAACTGGTACATACCGACCGGTACGGTACGGTATTGACTCCTTTGGTTACACTGCTTGTTATATTTTGTCAGACCGGCAAAGCTGCCTCCGTCACTTATCATTACTATTGGTTGGCAAAACCGCCTCTGTCCCCATTTTTGTTAGGTTAAATGTTAAATTGGATCCCTCAACTTTAAAGAGTTGTACTTTTTTAATTTTTTAACAATTTTTTGCACTTTTTTGATTCCTCAACTCTAAAAAATGCACAACATTAGTCTTTCCGTCAATTTGAACCATTAAGTCCACTCATGTGGCATTTTTTATATTTTGTTTGATGACATGGATAATACAAGGAAAAAAAATGCTTATTTGGACTAAGACTTATACCACGTTGCAAATAAACTTTACCCACTTCATTTAATAAATAATAAAAACTGCAAAATTACATAGATGCCCTTAACTTCATCTTCTTCCCCTGATTTCCTCTTTTCTCCCCTTTTTTCATTAACTCTAAACTTCGACAACTTCTCCCTCCCTCTTCTTGTCTCTGGTAGCTTCTCCTTCTCTTTTCCTTTTTCTGGTGCCAACTTCTTGTCCCATCCCCTCCCATCCTTTGTTTGACTTTTTTTCTAAAATCTAGATTTTAGCAAGATTTGGGTTTGAGCAAGATCTGGGTTCGAGCAAGATCTGGGTTCAAGCAAGATGAACAAACCTTGTAGATCTAGGTTTAAGCAAAATGAAGAAAACCTCGTAGATCTGGGTTCGAGAAAGATGAACCCAACTGTTGGGTTCGTCGAAACCCAGACTTGCTGGGTTTGCACGACCAGCGAGGCTGGGTTTCGATGAACCTAGCCTTGCTGGTTTCGTCGAGGCTGGGTTTCGACGCTGGGTTCATGTTTTTTCATTCTTCTTTCGATTTTCATTTCCAATTCTTGATAAATTTGGGAGTTGATTTACAATTTGATTGCATTTTTGTTGGAATTGGATTAGAGTTTGATTGATATTGTCTATTAAATGGTTAATTTGATTTGATGAGATCTACTGCCTTGATGAACTTAGTGGCTTTAATGAAACCAATAACTGGGTTCGATGACAGAGAACTCAAATTTTGCTTTGAAGCATTCTAGGGTTTATAGTTCTTTGCAGGTTTTAGTGCGTTTGATTTGTAATAATATTACGTGGCATAATGTTTTATCCATATCAGTATCTTTTTAGCTTGTTTTCTCCATGTCATTGATATGTCATAAAAAAAATATATAAAAAATGTCACATGGCGGAGTTAACGGCCCAAATTAATGAAAGGATTAACGGAGTGCATTTCGTATAGTTGAGGGATCAAAATGGTGCAAAAAATTATTGAGGGATAAAAAATGTGCATTTCATAAAGCTGAGAGACTAAATTTAGCATTTAACCTTTTTGTTATTGTTCTTGGTTGTGGTTTCCAGAAATTATTCACAATGCTGCACCATTTTTTGGCCAACAGATGCAGTTAAATCTTAATGCAGATGAGGTAGAAATGTGTCCAAGACAAGGTTAAGATTTATTAATTAATGTTGTCTTCAGTTTTAATTGTGAGTTCAAACAAGATATAAGTTTGATGCCATCAGGGAACTGAGAGTGTTGCGTGATGAATATAAATATAAATATATATATTATATTATATAAGTTGAGATATATAATTTATTTAAATAAAATTTTTAATAAAAAATTTACATGATAGAACTTTTAACCTAATAAATGACTTCAAAAAATATTAAGTAAAATATAATATTTTTGAAAAAGCCTTTGGGAAAACTGAAAACATCCTAAAAAACCACAATATATACAAAATATTAAATTAATGTGTATCGACTTTATCTTTTAAAATTAGAAAAAAAAATTTAGAATTATATTATTTTAATAAAATATTATAGATTAATTAAAAATAATTTATGGTAAACTATATAAATAATCACAAATCTTTATCAAACTAGTCACTCTTCTTTTAAATTTATAAATTTAGTCATTCACTATTCTTTTAACATCCCCAGTTTATCAGTTTATGTTATCACCCCAAATGCTGTCAGGTGAGGTGGCAAGAGGGCGTGGGCCAAGTAAAAATTTGATGACTTGGAGCTTAGAGGGGATTCTTTCGTCTAAAAGAAAACATGATATAAACAAGAATTAGAAAAAAAAAAGATAAAGATATATATACACCTTCCCGTCACACTTTCTTAATCTTGCTATCATTTATGTAAGAGGCAAACATCCAACCCAAAAAGGCAAAATCCTCAAATCACCCCCTGACAAATATGGGTAGGGACGGATCCACCCCTAAAAAAAAAGCAGGACAAATGACACTCCAAAAGTATCGATTTTTTCAAATCGATCATTATCTAACAGGCGACGTCATCACCGTCACGATCTCCGTTTAGCCTGTACCAACATGTCGTTTTTTCACACGCTGGATGCTGATGTGTACCAATTTCCACCTGTGAGACCAAGGTGTTCGACAACTAACCATAGTTTACCCTTAACTCTAGTTAATACCCTAACCCACTCCTATCCCCCCCACCCCCTCTGTTCTTTTTAGCTCCCCTCTGCTTTTGGCATTTTGCTCTCCTCCTCCTCCTCTACGGCTGAAGTGTTTGTTATCTTCCACAATGGGTGTGTTTCTCCGGCTCCACCTCCTCCGGCCCACAACATCACCGCTATTCTTGATGGGTTCCCTGAATATTCTCAGTTCAACAACTACCTCACCCAAACAAAGCTTGACGACGAGATCAACAGTCGCCAAACAATCACCGTCCTAGCCCTCAACAATGGTGCCATGTCTGCCCTGGCGGACAAACACCCCCTCTCTGTCATCAAGAACGTTCTTAGCCTCCTCGTTCTTCTCGACTATTTCGACGGAGGGAAGCTCCACCAAATCTCCAACGGCACCACTCTCAGCACCACTCTTTACCAAACTACTGGTAATGCCCCTGGGAACCTAGGCTTCGTCAACATCACCGATCTCCAAGGAGGGAAGGTCGGATTCGGCTCCGCCGCTCCCGGCTCTAAGCTTGACTCTTCCTACACCAAATCAGTCAAGCAAATCCCCTACAACATCTCTGTCCTCGAGATCAGTGCACCTATTATTGCGCCAGGGATTCTGACGGCTCCGCCTCCGTCCGCTTCCAATTTGAACATCACTGGTTTGTTGGAGAAAGCCGGATGCAAAACGTTCGCTAGCTTGCTTGTCTCGAGTGGCGTGATTAAGACCTACCAATCGGCGCTTGATAAAGGCTTGACCATTTTGGCGCCGAATGATGAGGCGTTTAAGGCTACTGGCGTCCCCGATCTGAGCAAACTAACAAACGCCGAAGTGGTATCGCTTCTGGAGTATCACGCATTGCCAGCGTACACTCCTAAGGGGACACTGAAGACGACGAAAGATCCTATCTCTACGTTGGCCACTAACAGTGCTGGAAAGTTCGATCTGACCGCTACATCTGCCGGTGACGATGTGACGCTTCACACTGGAGTTGACTCGTCGCGAGTCGCGGATACAGTGCTTGACTCAGCACCTGTCTCCATTCTCACCGTAGACAGCTTGTTGCTACCTGAGGAGCTATTTGGCAAGTTTCCATCTCCAGCACCGGCTTCGGAGCCCGGCAAGAAACCAGGTGGGTAGTATAGATTCTGTTTCTGGTTGTATTACGAAACCTAAGATCTTTTCTTAGGTACACATCAGCATCTAGCGTGTGAAAAAACGACACGCTGGCACAGGCTAAACAGAGATCGTGACGGTGATGACGTCGCCTGTTAGATAATAATCGATTTGGAAAAATCGATACTTTTGGGGTGTCATTTGTCCTGCTTTTTTTTTAGGGGTGGATTCGTCCCTACCCATATTTGTCAGGGACGATTTGAGGGTTCAAGAATCAAAAAGACATTTTCAACAACTTACAAAAAAAAAAAATAATAAAAAAATCTATTTGAAATTTATAAAAATTCATTATTATTTTCTTCCTCTTTTTTTTTTTTCTCTCTCCTCCATTTGGGTTCTCCATCTTCCTTTTTTTTTTCTTCTCTCTCTTCTCTGTCCCGTGGGTTCTGAAGGAGAACCCACAATGGGTTCTCATGATGAGAACCCAGAACTACGTTCTCCTTCAGAACCCACGGGTTCTCATGGAGAACCCAAAATAGGTTCTCATGGTGAGAACCCATATTTGGGTTCTCCAAATTTGGGTTCTTCAAGAGAACCTGTGGGGGGAAGAGAAGGAAAAAGAGGGGAGGAGAGGGAAAGAAGAAGAAAAAGAAAGGAGGAGGAGGGAACAGATTTACAGATGGAGAACTCAAAAGCAGAGAGAGGGGGAAAGAAGAGCAGAGAGAGCAAGAGGGTTGGGCTAGTACTAGTAGTAACAGAGAGAGATGGATTAAGTAATGAACAATGAATGGGTGTAACGGAGTGTGTAATGATAAGGTAAACGTATCACTATACAAAAAAAAAAAATTATTATGTCTTATTAATTAAAATATTAAGATCTTTTTATAAAATTATTAAATATTTTTAATAAAAATATTTAATTATTAACATATTTTTATTTTAAAGCAAATCAAAAAATATTTTACAAGTTGAATTGCATGTTACATAGTTGAAGTATTAAAATTACTAAATTACTTTTAATAAAATAATATACTTTTTCTATTCATTTTTAATGGACTTATTTCAACCTTTTGACTTTCATATATGAATTTTGAATAAAAATTTACATATAATATAAATGATATATTTTTTTCATCAAATAAAAATACTTAGTAGGAACTACATAAGGAAAAAAAAAATTTCATTGTTATTCATATAAATTACTAAATTTTCAATTAAAATTCTTGTCCCAAAAGTTAAAGTAGATCTACAAAAAATAAACAAAGAAAGTAAGAAATCATTTTATTAAATTTATTTTAATAATTTCAATAAATATAGTCTAACTGTAAAATATAAATTTCATTTAATTATAAAGAATAACTTATCAAAAAAATAAATAGACAAAAATAAAAATGAGTTACATGTATGATCACTTAAATGGGTTAATAAAAAAAAATACATGATTTAATTCCAATTCTCATGGGTGTAGGATTAAACTGGAAGCAGCATATTTTATTTTATATTATTACTAATGCAAAGAGTTAATATATGGTATCTTTTTTGTTAGGTCTTTAGTTCTTCTAAAGACTCAATAAGGATGCTTGTAAGTGTGATTATTGTTACTATCAATATTATTAAGATCATAAAAATTTTTGTTCTTTTAGCTGAATATGAAAATATCAATTTGTTAATTAATTTTAATTTGTTAACTAATAAATATTAATTGTTTTATTAATTATTAACTAATAATTACAGTTATTAATCACTTTTATTAATTAAATTAAATAGAATTATATTTTTAAAAATAATATTTTACAATTTTGTAACCAAACATAATTGTCCGCGATATCTATCATACAAAAATATCTTTCTAACCAACCTATAGCCCTGTTTATTATTCTAAGAAAAAAAAACAAAAATACTAGCAAAATATTAAATAGTTGTATGTAACTGTACATAACAAATCTGTACTTACTATCTTACTGAGGTTAAACAAAAGTGGAAGCACCCAGTCATCAATTTTTTCTTGGTCCAGGCCATTTTGTCGCCTCACTTAACGGCATTTGGGGATATAACGGAGTGTGATTAATGGAGCATGTTTAAGCAAAGGCGAGTGACTGCATTTACAAATTTAAAAGAAGAGTGACCAAACTGAAAGTTATGATAAAGATCAGTGACCATTCGTGTAGTTTACCCAACAATTTAATTTATGTTTAAAAAATATGATTTAAAAATTATAAGGGAAATTATCCTAAAACTATATTTTCAATGAAAATTAAGAAAAAGTGAATATGCGTGGGGCAATCTAGCTGCAACTTGCAACTAACTGATTCAATAGCGTTAAGTTACAAATAATTAGGAGTAAATGTTTATCTAATCTCCTAAAAAGTAGGTCAGTTTAGTGAAAATGAAACATGAGTTTTATTCTATAAATACCACAATGATACAGAGATGAAAACACATGATAGAATCCCTTCAGTGAAAAATCTCTTCACTACCCAAACACTAATAATTCCATGCACAGTTCCTCTTCCATTCTTATCTTTTATTGTTATTCCATCTACGGTCTCAGTGATGTTATTGCATCATCTCAACTAACAATGCTATCTAATGGAAAAGACTATAAATATTCTTTCTCAAAGAGGTTAGGGACTAAAAGTCCTAAAATAGAACATCTATAGATGCAAGCATCCTATTTCATAAAGAAATAATTTTTTTTTTTTGAAAGGCAAAAAAAACTTTTATTTTGAGTACAAGGGGTACTCTACCCATTTACATAAGATTTAAAGTGCCTAAGAACCTATGCACTTAAGCACTCACATTACATAGATGGGGATTGAGGAGCCAATCAGAGAAACTGTACCTCAAAACCTTCCCTCTGTTAGTCAGCCAGTGAAAGGACCTTACTTGGACTAAATCGAACAACTTGTTTTTGTCCACAATTTTATTGTTGAACAAGACCTCATTACGAGTAAGCCATATAGTCCATACCAAGGCAAACCACACCACTTCCCAGCCGACCCTCATTCGTTTGGACACTGCAATACCCTCATGTTGCCTAAAACCATCCCATACATTACTAGCCAACACAGCTTGAACACCCCACCAATTCAAGCATCTATTCCATATTTCGGTAGTGATTTTACAAGAGAGAAATAAGTGATCGCAATCTTCCATATACTCTTTGCAAAGGCTGCACATGACTTCAGCCGGATCCTTGATGATACCTCTCTTGAATAAATTGGTTTTAGTAGGTATTCTATTTAAAAGAAGTTGCCAACTAAAGCCACACACCTTTGAAGGGGCATTTGGATTCCATACTCTTCCAAAGACATGTTTCTGGCTCTGTTCTTGTGAGGCAGCAAGATTTGCATACCCTGTACTTGTTGTGTAGCTACCATCCATGCTATACTTCCAATCCCACTTATCCTTTCGTCCTTGGTGTAATTTAGTTGCTTCCAGCATCTTCTCTAGTTCCTTTCTTGCTTGGGATTCTCTGTCCAGCAACACACGCCTCCATGGAAACATCCATCTCCATTTATCCTCGATCCAGACTCCCATTTGCTTTATCTTATAGTCCATACCTGCAGAAAGCATATAAAGCCTTGGAAATTTGTGAGCTAGGACCCCATCCTTACACCATGAGTCCCACCAGAAACTTATTCCATCTCCATCTCCTACTATAATCTCGAAACCATTAGATAACCACCCATTTCTATTGTCTCCCAATACATCTATCCTACAAACATCCTTCCACCAACTAGAGCCCTCCCCTCTACCATTCTTAACCCATGACAACCAACTATCATTCCCAGCGCCATATTTTTCCTTAATTAGCCTACTCCACAACCCCGCCTCCCCTTTAGCGAGCTTCCCCCACCATTTACCGAGAAGAGCAAGATTAAACGCCCTAATACTCTTCACGCCCAACCCCCCTTCATGTTTACCCTTACAGACCTTTTCCCAGTTGACCCAGTGCACTTTCCTAGTATCCTCACACCCACCCCATAAAAAATCCCTCCTGATTTTTTCAATAGATCTCACAACATTTTTTGGTGCAAGGAAAACAGATAATAAGAAAACAGGCAATGACGTAAGAACAGAGTTTAGCAGCGTTATTCTACCTCCAAACGATAACCATTTCCCTTTCCAACCTGCCAGCTTCTTCTTCAAGGAGTCCACCAGAGTTTGCCAAAAAGATACCCTTCTGTGATTCCCCCCTACCAACATTCCCAGGTATTTAAAAGGAATAACACCAATCTGGCAATTTAACAAGTACGACATTCTAATTGTCCACTCCTCTTCCATATTAATGCTCATCAACTGACTCTTCGAGAAATTTATCTTGAGCCCAGATACAAGCTCAAAAGATCTGAGGATGCACTTGGCAGCCCACACATTGCTCTCGGTAGCCTTCCCAAAGAGAATTGTGTCATCAGCAAATTGTATATGTGAGAAGCTTACACCGTTGTACCCCACAGCCACACCCTGGAATAAATTTTTTCTGATGGCGGAATGAATGAGTCCATTTAATCCCTCTGCCACCATTAGGAATAGGAAAGGGGAGAGGGGATCGCCTTGTTTCAATCCCCTACTCACTGTAAACTCCCTGGTTGGGCTCCCGTTAACCAAAACTGAAACACTGCTGGTTTGGAGACACTCCAGAATCCATCCTCTCCATGTCTTGTCAAACCCAAATCTACTCATCATATAATCCAAAAATGACCAACTCACTTTGTCGTAGGCCTTCTCAAAATCCATTTTCAGGATAAAGCTGTTAAGATTCTTCTTTCTCGCTTCATCAATGATCTCGTTAGCCATAACCACGGCCTCCGTGAGCTGTCTTCCCTCAACAAAGGCCATCTGGTGCTCCCCGATAACATAACTAATAACTTCCTTGAGTCTATTAGCTAATAGTTTTGCCACTATTTTATACATTGCACCGATCAAAGATATGGGCCTATACTCTTCAATTTTCTGAGGATTGCTCACTTTTGGAATAAGTGTAATGAAAGAAGCATTTAAACCAGAGACCAACTTCCCATATTTCTGAAATTCCTGCAGGAACCCAACCACGTCCTTCTTGATAGTCTCCCAGAATTCTCTAAAAAATCTGAAGTTGAAACCATCCGGACCAGGGGCCTTCGAAGAGCTGCAATCCCACACTGCTTTTTTTATTTCATCTTCTGAAAAAGAGGCAGATAACCTTTCAGCTTGCTGCGAAGAGATTTGTTTGAAGTCCACACCATCAAGAACAGGTCTCACCCATTTCTCCTTCTGAAAGAAATTTTGGAAGTGTTTAGCAATCCCGTCCTTTACCTCTTCTACTCCTACAAGCTGTTTACCATTGATTTCTATACAGTTAATTTCATTTCTTCGCTGTCTGCTCTTAATGCATCTGTGAAAATATTTAGAGTTCGCATCACCATTCTTGAGCCAAGCCTTCCTTGCTTTCTGCTTGTACATACCTTCCTTAATCTTTAATTTACTCCAAACCTCCATAAACAGTTGTTTCCTTTCCATAATCTCTGCATCACTCAGTTGTTTAAGCTCCCCCATTCTGTCGAGACTTGCAATCTTCTCCTTGGCCTCATTAATCTTAAGGTCAAGCTGTGTAAACTCTTCAGCACTCCATTTCTTTAGCTTCTGTTTCACTGCCTTGAGTTTTTCCTTCACACAAAATCCTTTCCAGCCTTGAACATTAGTCTTCTTCCACTCCTCTTCCACTATGGTCTTGCATTCCTGATGTAATAGCCATTCGTCAAAAAATTTAAAAGGCTTAGGCCCCCAATTAATGTGCTGACTTTTGAGTAAAATGGGGCAGTGATCAGATATAGAGCGTTTCAGACCCCACTGTTTCGAGTTAACCCACTTAGACATCCAATCTTCAGTCATTAGAAATCTGTCGAGTCTACTCATAGCTTCACCATTAGGCTTATACCAGGTAAACTTCCTTCCAATCAAAGGCAGATCAACCAACTCCATATCCCTGATGAATTCATTAAACACTCTCATTCCATTTGAAACACCTCTGTCTCCACTCTTTTCTTGTTGATTTCTAGTTATATTGAAATCGCCCATAAGGCACCAGCACCCTCCTTTGTTTGTAATCACTAGTTTCAATTCGTCAAACATCATTCTTCTTTCCTTGACATCACACGGCGCATAAACATTCACCAAATTAACAGCAATATCCTCCTCTACCCAAATACCTGATACTCCCACAAAATGATCTCCTTCAAAACTACTCCAATTTTTCAACACACTCTTCTACCATATGCAAATTAGCCCTCCTGATTGCCCTTTAGAAGGCTTAGCAACAAACTCTAAATCATCTGAGTCCCACAATGATCTACACAACCTTCTATCAACAGATTCTTTTTTTGATTCTTGTATTGCTAAGAACTCCACCTTCTCTTTTCTCACTAGTTCACTAACCTCCCTCTTTTTCCCTGTGACTCCCAACCCTCTAATATTATATGACAACAAAATCATGGGGAATTTGTACTAACCTTCCTTCTTCCCTCCGCTGCTAACTCCTAGTGATGCTTCTATTTTCTGACTTCCTTATCTCTGTTCTCCATTTCCTCTATTTGTTGGATAATGATCTGCTCATCACCGGTTGCTGTCAACCCTATCTCCTTGGCAAAGTTCCATATTTCCTTTGCTGAATTTGAGTTGGATCTGGCTCTACTTCTTTTGTTACAATTAATAATTGCTCCATCCGAAATTGACTCCCCTGCAACAGGCTTTTCGGCATTTGAGAAGAATTTCGGTAGTCCTCCTTGCTGGGTTGAAATCGCTTTTAATCTACCCTCTCTGCTCTTCTTTCCTTTCCCCATCACAACAGTCCGGACATCTTTGTATACCGACATGCATGCCCTTGATTTCTTCTTCCTCTGCTTCTTCTTTCTCAAATTCGATCTTTTAAACCTGCTAATCCAGTCTGCGATCGGTCCTGAATCGCTACTTAGCTCCGCCCAGAAAGAATCATCACCTCTTGCATCATTCCCATCATCGGCCGGCACTCCTGCATCTTCAGCTTCGTCGATCTGCTCTTGAGGATGTATTCTATCTTGGTTGCCTTTGGCCGGCCTTAAGGATAAGAGCCCAACATTTGCTTTTGGCCCATTTTCCATTAACCTTTCCCCTGTCCCATTTGAGACGGGCTGGGCTACTATCTGGCCCAAACTCTGATCTGTCTTATTCATATCCCCCTGATCCCCTTGAAGCACCTCATTGTCTGGCCCCACACCGACCACTTCCTCATGATCACACTGCTGAGTTATTAAATTTTCTGCTCCAGCCATCTGTGTCTCTTTCACCACACTAAGACCCTGCTCCTTGGAACTATCACTTTCTCCACTTCCGCCTCCTAACTCATTAATGTGCTCTGCATAGCTAGAACTAGGAGTCTCATCAACAATTTGAAATTTTTGAATTTCTTGGGCTTTTCCAATTGCCATGTCAGCTTCTTCTTCCCCACCATCCTCTTCAGACCAATTCACCTGATTTTTACTCCGGGAGGCATGGTTAGCTTCATCAAACTCTTCTCCAGAATAATGATCAGTAGACCAGAGCTCAATATCCTCATCATCCGAATTAGATTGAGAATCAAGATTGTAATCGGTTTTAAGATTAAAGAATCCATTGCTCCCGTCCTCCTCTCTGCACACAATGTTGTGGAATTGACCATCCACTTTAACCATTAACACTCTGGAAATATTGTTCGTTAGAGTGGTTGACACTAGCACTCTTGCCACATCAAACCTTTTCTTCAACCTGGTGCTATCGTCAAGAGAGATAAATTTTCCCCACAAATTTGAAATAGTAGAGAAAAAATTATCACCCCAAACTGATAGGGGAACCCCCATAATTTTTAGCCATACAAACCGCTCCTTCGCCACCATTGTGGGGGTCCATGGACAGATTTCCTCAAACCACTGGCTAAACCAATCCGCTGCAGATTCCATCAAGTGCTTGAGCTCATCTTTGTCTTCTCCGTCTATTAACACCATTTTACCGCCCATGGCTTTAACTCTGACAGAGAACATCCCTTCCATATACATACGTTCTTGTATCACTGGTACGATCTCCACCGACCTTGCCATGCCTACGAAGAAACCATCCAACCATTTGCACTCCTCTTGATTGGATTTAAACTCCAGCCCAGTCCAGGATGTATCTGAGCTTTTTACTTGCCAAATTTGCCTTCTCTCTTTATTGTTCTCCTTCTTCTGCTGATTTTGCTCCCCTTTCCTTTCCCCTAACACTGCATCAACGTAGCTACGCCCTTGCACTCTTACTGCCTCTGAGAAGTTGATTCTTCCTTCTGGTTTCTGCTTGTATTGGCTGTTCTTTTCCTTTTCGTCTCTTCCAGTGTTTAATTGGAATCTTGGACAATTCACCCTCAGTTTGCTGTTACCAACCCATATTTGGTCAAGCTGCCTCTCCAATCTCTTCACATCTTTGACGTCCAAGAACCGAACAAAACCGAATCTACAACCAGCTTTATTCTTCCTCCTCGGACTGTATATGGTATAAACCCTCCCAAAACTCAGAAAAGTTTTCCACATCTGTTCATATGTCCAATCCTCGGGGAAGTTTGAGAAATAGAAGGCTGTTGCTTGGTTATAGATTGTCCAGCTGAAGTTCCGAAAACTCTTCCCATAAGATCCTTCATCCTCCTTATCATAAAAACCCCTTCTCTGTTCTCCATGCCTCCATGTCGACCTCGCACTCTGTTCTCGCCGTCATTGCCGTGATCCACTGCCATTTACTCGCACTCTCTCTCTACCCCTCTCTCTCATCTCTTTTTCTTTTAGTTGATTAGCTAGCGTTCTTGTGAGTTCCTGTCTCTCCATAACCTACTGTCATCTATCAACTGCATTTGAATAATCAAAGACAAGAGCTTGATCTTTGGTGCTTAAATTTTTATTTGTTTGCAAAAGGAAAGGTTTTTATTATTTTACAAAGTAGAGATTTGACCAGCATGATATTTCTGAAGAGACTTTTAAATGTAGTAATTTTTTTAAAAAAATATTGAATTATTCAGTAAAAAAGATTATTTTTTATATTTTTTTAATAATTTACCTCACTTGTATGCTAATATGCTAAGTTTGTCAAATCAAGAACTTTTTGATTCTGAAGGACTTTGCATTTAGGTTGTTTGCAGTGGTTAATTTGATATCATGCTATTGAATAATTCCAGTTGATGCAATCATGTACATCAAGCAAATGTACGAGATAAATAGAGATGATTGGCAAGGAGACCCGTGTGTCCCAGCAGCATATGTGTGGACTGGTTTGAGCTGCGGTTACGCAAATTCTACAAGGATCATATCTGTGTAAGAAATTTCGTAAACTTGGTATGGTTCATAAAAGTTTTTACAATTTGGACAGTAAATAACTCAACGTTATATTAGTTGAATTTCAATAATGAAAATTTTGTTGAATTAATAAGTATTAACTTAAAAACTTTAGTTAAAGGTTAAAATTAAAAAATGAAATATATGTTTTGTTAAGCAATTAACTCTGGATGTTAAAAAAAAAAAAAATCAGTGGTGCCCTCAATTGCAAAGGCAAACATCTTTATTTGACAATGGAAAATGATTTAGGGATAATTTTTTGTATTATTTTTTTGTATAACTTTACATGTCATTTAAATGTATAACTCTTTTATTTATTTAAAACCCATAATATTAAATGTATCTACTCATTTACTGACGTGTAAAAATTATATAAAAAATTTATACAAAAAAATTACCCCTATATCACCATTCATTTGACAATAATAGAGTGCAAAATAGTAGACATTAAACTAAAATTATCATCTTTGAACATGTTTGGTGAACCTTATAAATATTTTAACTTTTTGATATTATTTATATTTCATAAGTTTAAATTTGTCTCTTAAAAGTTTATATTTTTAATTTTATTTAACTTTAAAAATATCTTAAACAGTAAATTTTAAAGATTTTTCAAACTTTTATTTTTTATAAACTTTTATTTTTTATAAATTTCCTTTTTACTCATTTCTTAAACACTTTTTATTATTTCTAAAACCATTTTTTAAATTTTTCCTCCAATAAAAATTAAAACTTATGATACATAAACAATACTAATGGCATGTTTGGTCAAGTTGGTAAGAGTTTCAGTTTTTTAACACTGTTCATGTTTCATAAATTTAAAATTTTCTCTTAAAAACTTACATTTTTTAACTTTTTTTTTAACCTTAAAAATGCCTTAAATAGTAAATTTTGAAAAGTTTCTAATTTGTAATTTTTATAAACTTCATTTTTATTCACTTTTTTCTATTTTTAAAAACAATTTTTAAATTTTTCCTCAAATAAAAATTTAAACTTATCACTTATAAACAGCAACGAAAAAATAAAAATTCTTACAAATTTCATCAAGCATACTCTAAAAAAAAAAAAAGTGAAATCCCTGATAAACTCTACTGTGCCCTTTGCATGAGATCTGATGATTCTGATCTATCAAAAAGTCTTACATTTTCCAAAAAAATTCCCACAATCTGCGCGCAGATTACAAAATGATTAATGCTACATTCTTAGTCCGTCAACTTTCAAAGAAGAGCACTTTGGTCTTTCTACAAAACCGTGTTCTGTTTGGCAGTGACTTCTGCTCTAGTTTTGTGTATGTAAAATGCTAAAGACCAAGTCAAATAAGACTGTTAGTGGAGTCCTAATAAAGTGGAGCATACCAGATTCTTATCTGATGAAGCCACGTTTTTAGTAGGAGAGTTACCACAAACTTCCGTTTTTTGCTGTGTATAAATAAGGAGAATGAATTTGCTGTCATTTAGTTCCTCTCTTGCTATATGCATAAACACCACACTCGATCTACTTTTAGTTTATCATAAAATTGATGAATACCTCCTCTTCTGAGTTTGGGCATGTGAAATTGATGGATTTGGGTACATTCTCACTAACTCTACAATGCATAGGAAGTAAAAAGAAAAGTGTGATAATTGTTCAATGAATTACGAACAGGAATTTAAACTCAAGTAACTTAGCAGGGGAGATTTCTTCCGCATTCTTCAACCTCACAGCCATAGAGACTCTGTAAGTACTAAGTAGTAGTTTGATTGCAGATTATTATATTGAAGTTTTGAAAATGATTTCATTACCAAATTTCTGCTCTGTTTCTGTTTCAGAGACTTATCAAATAATAAACTGACAGGGATGGTGCCAGAATTTTTAGCACAACTACCAAACTTGAAAGTCCTGTATGGTTTCTTTTTTCATTGATTTTCCATGTTAATTTTCTATTTTTTTTCTTTTCGAATTTATATAGATTATATAAACAATACAACAATAAATATTTGGCACATTCACTGCAGTAATTTATCTTGGAACAAGTTGGAAGGAAAAATTCCCTTGCCTTTAAAGGAGAAGTCTAGTAATGGAACTCTAAAACTAAGGTTTGATTTCATTTCTATGCCACATTGCCTTTCATTCAGTCCTTTATAAGTCTGGATTTTGAACATATCTTTTGGTTTGAATGATTGAAAAAATTTATTTATCTTGTAACATGATTCCTAACAATCCTTTGGTGTTTTCTCAAGGATATATTTTTTTAGATTAGCCAATTTTAATTACAAGATTAGCATTCATGATTAATATGCTGTAAAATCTAACCATTTATCCTACGCACTCAATCACAGATTGGATGAAAATCCAAACCTATGCCTGACAGATGCTTGTGAGAAAAACAATCATCCAAACCTATGCCTAACAAATGCTTGTGAAAATAACAAGAAGAAGAAAGTTCTTGCGATTGTTACTTCTGTTGTTTCAATTGTAGCCCTTCTTATCTTCTTGAGTGTTCTAGTCATCGTTTGCAAAATTAAAAGGAGAAGACAAAAAGGTAACCTCATTGCCCAAAATTTCAAGTAAAAGCACTTTCTAGTGCCTGGTTTATCTTGAAATATGCTGGTTTTCATTGCTTTAGGGGCCAAATTAAAGGAGGAGTGGTCAATGAAATCGAAGAATAGAACCTTTACTTACTCCCAGATTTCTAACATAACTTCAAATTTCACAATGGTTATTGGAGAAGGAGGATTTGGAAAAGTTTATCTTGGCACCTTAAATGATGGCACTTATGTTGCTGTTAAGGTTCTATCATCATCATCAAAGCAAGGCTATAAGGAATTCCAGGCAGAGGTTGGATCGTTATAGCCATTTTTCTTAATACTTTATAACACAAGACATGTTACCAAATGAATTTCACCTTGACAAAGCATTATCTTGATTGCAGGCACAATTGTTAATGATACTTCATCATAAGAACCTAGTTTCACTCGTGGGATACTGTGATGAAGATGACAACAAAGCTTTGGTTTATGAATACTTGGCCAATGGAAACTTGAGACAGCATTTATCAGGTATAGCGCATGTTATACTCAACAATCCTTGACTAATTCACTGGCCTTGACAACCTGAACAAGTAAAAGATTATCCTAACTTGTTTTTCGTACAGATAAAAACACAAACAATTTGAGCTGGATTGAAAGACTTCAAATTGCTATTGATGCTGCACAAGGTCCATCTTCTAACAGAAATTTCCAAGTCAATTTGTTTTGTTTTCCTTTTCCCATAAAGTAATGTTGTGCCATAATTGCAGGATTGGAGTATCTACATAATGGTTGTAAACCACCAATAGTCCATAGAGATTTGAAAACCCTCAACATCTTATTAAATGAAAACATGGAAGCCAAGATAGCTGACTTCGGATTATCTAGAGCTTTTTCAACAGAATCTGCTTCTCATATATCAACTTGCCCTGCAGGAACACCTGGATACCTAGCCCCCGAGTGAGTATTAAATCTCCAACATGATTAATAACACTTTTCAACTTATTATCAATGTAATTGTTTTTATGTTTCCCTTACAGGTTTCATGCATCAGGAGTCATTAACAAGAAAAGTGATGTGTATAGCTTTGGAATAATTCTACTAGAGTTGGTCAGTGGTCGACCTGTCATAACAAGAGGTGAAGAATACAATATAAGCATAATTGAGTGGATTAATCCTTTGATTGAAAGAGTGGATATCCGAAGCATCATTGATCCAAGGTTACAAGGTGAATATAATGTCAATGTAGCCTGGAAAACAGTGGAGATAGCAATGTCATGTGTGTTGCCAATTGGAATCCAGAGGCCAGACATGAGTCATGTACTATCAAAACTTAAAGAGTGTTTGGATTTAGAAATGGGTTCCAGAGAAACTCAGAGAATACAGAACCAAATGACTAGATCAAGTAATTCACTTGAAATCAGTGTTCCTCTTCCTAGGTAGTTCAATAGACAATGCTTCATGGAATTGTAGATGTAATTCCTAAAGATGATCAAATCATATAATGATTGATAAGATTGTAGAATGAAGAGAAATAAACGTGTAAAGCCCACAAAAGCTTTTGTAATGTGGACTAGGGGGCATAAATGCATCATGATGTGTTAGCACTATCTCAAGTCAAGTAATATTGTATCTTCCAATCTCTCTTTCTTATCTTTTATTACAACATATATCTCAATTGATAATACTTAAATTTATCAAATTTACAATAATTACTTAATAAAAATAAATAAGACTTATCACTACCTAAAATGGTCAAAACAATAATTATTACAACATAAAAAATAATATTATACTGACAACTTAATGTTTTATATCCTCATAAGTTCTTTCTCTCAGTTCTTTGTCCAAAATAAATCTAGAGAAAAGAAATCATGACATACTCATAAGAAATCAGTTTAAATTCATAATCCTTATCTACTTTAATCATTTACTCCTTTTCTTCAATTTTAGTAGATATAATTTTTTATCTAATAAAATAAAAATATAATAATTAATTGATAAAATTTCATACTTATCTTTAATTAATTATTATTTTAATAAACATTTTTATTTAATATATATTGTAATTATCTTTTTAAAATAAAGGTAAAGTAAAAACAAATGTACTATATGGCATCCAAAAAGAAACAAGTAAATTTAAACACTCTAAATTAAAAATTAAGTATTGTAAAATTTAATTAATGTTATATCTATCCCAAAATAATTGTCGTTTTTACTTTGAATTTGTCTTAAATTAATGATTATTTTTTTAATTTTTAAAATAAACAAATATTTTTTTACTTTAACCCTATTGACATCTAGTCTCTTTAATTAATTATTTAATCATAAAATTTTTTTATCTTTTGTTTGTTTTATAACGCAAATATTTTTTTACTTTAACCCTATTGACATCTAGTCTCTTTAATTAATTATTTAATCATAAAATTTTTTTATCTTTTGTTTGTTTTATAAATGTATTATAGATAAAATATAAATATTATTTTTAAATCCTTAATTTAATG